TGAACCCAGGGGCACTTAACCACTGAGCTACATCCCTAATCCTTTTTTATATTTTTATTTTGAGACAGGGTCTAGCTGAGTTGCTTTGGGCCTCACTAAGTTGCTGAGGCTGGCCTTGAACTTGCAATCCTCTTGCCTCAGCCTCCCAGGTCACTGGGCAGGAAGTGGTTTGCAGTATAGACTTGAGCGACCATACTTGCCAGCACTGGGTCTTGGCAGATTGTTTTAGGTGCTCTAGATGACAGTGTTCTCCTGAATAGGAAGTAATAATAACAACAATCTCATGGAGTTGCCTGAGAATGAGATAATCCGATGGAAAGCAGTCAACATGATGCGTGGTGGTAAGCACTCAAGGGTTTGTTGTGTAGTCATGATCACTAACAGTCCATATCCGTCAGGACTCTTGATCACAGTGGAAGTGACCTCGCTCACTTGCCTCCTGCCCCCACAGGGACTCTGTTGGCTCACACAATTACAAGTATACTGTCCACCTTGGGGCTGCGTGGAGCACCTCTCTCGGGCATTGGGCCAGCCTGTCTTGGGCTCTGAACGAGGCTTTTCTTCTGTGTTGACTCAGTCGCCAAGTGGCTTCAAGCTTCCATCTTACCAGCATTTTCCCGCAAAAAGAAGCCAGTGGTTCTCACACAGTCCCAGGCTCAACTGGGTGACGGTGTGCTGGTTATGGGCTGTGCGACTGGTGCCTCCACATCACTGTACTCGCCTCTGCAGCCTTGGCGGGAAGGCTCATCCTGAAATGCTCAGCAATCGCGGGCCTTTTGCCCTTAGTCTGGAGAGTCAGAAGCCTCCTGAGCTCCATGCTGCAGAAGAGTCGCCTCCCCAAAGGAAAAACTAGGAGCAACAAATGCCCGGCAGGCAGAAGCCAGGTGGCGCCCTCACCCACGCCTGCCTGCCACGGGCCTTCATTCCCCACTGCCCGTGGGTTTTCAGAAGCACTCACAGCAGGGCCTGTCAGGACAGGGGCCGAGGTTCCAAAGTCAGCACAAGCCTCGTTTACAGTAAAAGTTGCCCTTGAAATTACTGCAGGAAGGTGCCCTGGGAGTTCTGCATATCCAGTCTCTACTGCTCATGGGACCAAGTAGCACCAGACAGATCACTTCCGTGCTTACGGGCAGTAGAGTGCCTCTTGTAAGAATATCAAGGGACAAGACACTGTCAGTACTCACAGTCAGCTCAGAAGACCTCTGTGACCAATCGGGATGGTGTCCCTGACACCCAGTGGGCCAGCGGCTCTGCCGTGGTGTCCTCTGGTTCAGCTCAGTCCTGACTCTCTACCTGGAGGTACTGTCAGGTACTGACCCCTCTCCCAAGGCAACCACAGGCCCCAGGTTGCTGGCCCAGGCTTCTGACCAAACAACTATAAATCAGGGTTTTGTGAGCTTTCTTCAGGGTACAGCTGCCATGGTGTAGCAATGCACAGAACTCAGAAATACTTTATTGACTGTTTCTTATAAAGACATTATGAAGGAAATGAATGGGTGAGACGGGAGGACCATGGATGGAGTTCCTCCGTCTCCAGCTGTATCACCCTCCAGGACCTTCCCTGTGTGCAGCCACCCAGGAGCTCTGCAAATTCCGTCTTCAAGTTTGTGGAGGCTTCTTTACTCAGGCGTGATTGTTTAAGCTCTTGCCACTGGTGATCCATTCAACCTTCAGCCCAATCCACCTCACCACCTTGGGTTTGGTGATGGGGCCAGAAGTCCCAACCCTCAGTCATGGTTTGGTCTTCCCGGTGACCAGCCATCTGTCAACTCATTAGCATTCTTTAAAAATCACTTTGGAGAGTCCAAGGGTTTTAGGATTTGTGTGCCAGAAAACTAGACGAAGAACAAATGCAGGTCACCACATCACAACTCTCCATTCAGTAAGATTCTCACATTCTGGGCCAGCAAAAGTTGAAATTTCTATGGGCTCTGCTGCTTAGCCCAGAGCCGGGCAGCATAGGCAGAGACCACCTGAACTATTGAAATCCTGCCACCTCATCCGTGTGTGCTTGGATCTGCTGCGCACTGAGACAATCCTGCTCCACCGTATACCAGTGCTCAGCCTGTCCCCCAGAGGGACTGCAGTCAGCGCACCCCGTTCAGACCCAGGACCCAGGTAGCCTGCAGTCCTCAAGTCCAGGTCAGCCTCCCCATCCACGAAGCACCGGAGGGRAAATAAAGGACGACCCTCCAGAGAACATCATTCAAGAAGGGGTCACGCCGTATAGGTGTCACCTGCCGTCGTTGCTCACGTTCTCAAGGAGCACCAGCCACTGGGCGGAGATGGGCCTGGTTATGGAGCCACTGTGGTCTCCTCATTTATTTCCAGTGTGGACTTGTGGGTGGGCCTAGTGATTGATTCCCTTGAGAGGCTGGGACGTCAGAGGCCTTTCTTTTCCGAACTTAATGATTCTCTGGCAGTAAAAGTGCCTTTAATCTGGTGTTGAGGTTTAGGTTTGGTCATCTCATCTGGAGGCTTAGTCACCAAATCACACCTGGAGACTAGCCATGGTCCTTGAAGTTCCCAGTCTCTGACAGCAGACCTCTGGGAATGTCCCTAGCCTGTGGCTTCATGCATCTGTGAGCCTCAAGTCAATTTGAACCACTAATATGGGATGGAGGGAGAAACTGACAGGGGCGGTTCTTGAACCGTGGGCTTGGTGGAGAATATAGTCCCAGGGACCCAGGATTTCTAGGTCTCAAATCTTTTCCAACTCTGTCCGCCTTCTATTGACTGTAGCTTGGGCAAAGGATAAGCTGTGTGTCCTCTTGGATCGCCTTCTTCAGAGAAGAAACGGCTTCCATAGCGAAGCCATTGATCTGCTTTTAGGTGGTATGGCCACTGAGCACGGGAAGGGACCCCCACCATCAGGCGCTCTCCCCGGGCCTGCCAGCTCCCCTCGCAGCCCCGCCTGCCTGGCTCAGTCTTGCAGCCGCCATCCAGGTTCCATCTCAAAGCTGATGCCAAAAGGAGACTTTGGGGGCTGGGGATGTAGCTCAGTTGGTAGAGAGCTTGCCTCGCATGCACAAGGCCCTCGGTTCAATCCCCAGCACCACAAAGACAAAAGGAAGATTTTGTTGGTCATAAAACTGCAACTGGGGAAGACCAGCAGTCACCCCACGTCCGGCCCTAGCCCGGTGCTCAATCCCAGCCTGGAATGCCCTTCCATCTCCCTCTGCCTCCCCTGCGGGCTCCCTTCCCAGGTAGCCTCTGCTCCTGGCTTATCAGCCCTACTGGAAAGGACACAACTGCTTGCCAGGAGTTCCAGGAAAATTCCTGGGGTTGTCCCTTGTTCACCCAGCCTTGGCCACGTGCCTCCCAACCCATTCACCAGGGGAGGGACAGGATGGAGCACAGTGATTAGCCAAGCCTGGGTGACTATGTGTGGGTGATCCGGGTGGACGGGGAAGGTCGGCCCCCAAACAAAGCTGGAGTGTTTGCCAGGCCACCCAAAACAACAGGGCCCCCCGACCCCAGGATTCATGGCAGAACTGGGAGGGCACCATGACGTGGAGAAAGCAGCTTGCTGGGCTGGGACAGAGCTCAGCAGCAGCACTTACCTCACGCTCAAGTGTTCAATCCTTAGCATGGCCCCCTGCTCCCAAAACAAGAAAGCAGATTACCAAATTGCCCTTATACAGATAGCTTCATAGCTCAGCGCTGTCCAGATCTAGTGGACAGAGAATATGGGCCCCAAATGGAGGCCAYGGGGCAACATGTAGGAACCAGGTGAAGTAATCACCAGTAGGGCTGTACTTGCTTAATGATGTTATAAGGCCAAAGTTCATTTTAATGTGGAATCAGTGTCACATTATGGAGATTGTACTGTTTCTTTTTTTTCTTTCTTTTTTTTCTTTTTTTTTTGGCAAAATGTCTACCACTAAACCACATCCCCAGCTCCTGTGTCCCTTTTTTGTACCGTGTCTTTGGAATCCAGCGTGTATTTTACACCCACCGCCCATGTGGATTCAGATGAGCTAGTGGCAGGGGTTGCTGAAGGTTTAGTTGGTCATTTTTTCATTCGGGAGCTGGGTATCTCATCTTCTTGTAAGTCATTACTGTTCTTCCGTATCACGGGGCGTGATTAGAAGTGTCTTCCCCACAATGAGCCCACGTACGCCATTTCCACATGGGGCTGGTTGGAGCCACTTGGGTCTGAACACACATCCTGGCTGTGCAGTTGGTACCTAACATCACCTCTTAGTCATTGGTCTTCAGTCCGAGACGGACTGTAAGCTCCAGGAAGACAGGGACTCTCATCGGTCTTGCTTACCTCTGTACCCTAAGCACAGTTCCCAGTGCATACAAGACACTGCCCAGATATTTAAAAGTGGAATAGAATTAAGTTAAAAATGTAGGGCTTCTCATTTGCCAGGCTCGGTGATAAACTGGAGAAAGTAACCCTGGTTTGAAGCCCACGGTTGCATATTTGCAGTATTTGTTTTTCTGATGATGGACCGTTTGTAGTCTGTGGCTAGTTGTGTTACCACTCAGTCACTCTTTTGATGAATAAATAGAGAATGATTGAATGCCTACAGAAACCCAGGCTCTGCGCCAAGCACTGGGTATACAAAGATAAATGGGAAACAGTCTCTGCCTTAAAATGAGAAACAGATAAGTACAGTAACTTCTACAGTAAAACCAATAAGTGTTAGGATACAAATACACCGTGTTTGGGGAGCAGGCGGAAGGGGGTCCAAGTCAGGCCCGAGCCTGTGATGTTCGTAGCCTCCAGCCCCATTCCTGGCACGGATGTTGAATCAGTGGCTCAGTGAGCCAAGGGGCACCTGAACAGTTGACGAGGGTTGCCAGGTCTGCCCATYGAGAGAACGCACGACCGCTGTGGGTGCAGAGAGCGCTCTGTGCGGCCTGGCCCCTGGAGGCAGCCCGGAGGGCTGAGAGCTGGCAGAGCCGGCAGCGTTTGGCAGGGCAGAGTGCGGCAGCCTTCTGTGGCCGTCGGCTTGACTGGTGACAATCATTGCACTCTCTCACTACAGGCGAAGCGAAGGCTGGAGCTGGGAGACAGCGGCCACCAGTACCTCTCAGATGGTTTAAAAACCCCCAAGGGCAAAGGAAGAGCCGCGCTGCGAAGTCCAGACAGTCCAAAAAGTAAGGGTTCTTCCCCGTCCTTCCTCTTCTCCTCAGTGTGGGGTCCCCACTGCAGAGCTTGTGGCTGGAAGGTGGCAAGGCGTGGACAATTCTGGCATGATTGGTTCATTTTTCGTCTCTTTCTGAGCCTGTCCAAACTGAATACGTTCCCTGTAGCACCCCAGTACTGACTCGGGGTGGGGAGACTTCTCTAGTGGAAGGCAGTTTGACTCTGCCCTCGGAGACAGGCTTTTGGCCTATCTTTGTTCTATAATCAAATTTTATTTTGACTTCCCTTCCTGGGCATGACTGCAGACGCCGAGACTAGCCGGGTGTCGATGAACTGTGCCTGTCAGTCATGTCTGTGCCCACCTCCATCTCAGCCTCCCACGTGGTGCAGAAGAACCGATTGCACCCGATACACTGCAGCCAGTTCCCATTCCCATCAAACACTGTCATCCTTTCTTTGGGGAGAGAAAGAGGCCAGTGGGTTAGAAATAGCCAAGTAGCCSCTTTGCAAATTATTGGCATTATTTAATGTGAGAGCTACTTTACCCTTTATTCTGTAGCTGCAGTCTGTGCTTTAGGCCGTCCGCAGCGTGCACCCACTGCTGAACGTAAACCTGGGTCCTGCACCTATACCATGATAAAGACAGTATTCACTAAGGAAATTCCATTTGCAAGAGATGGAAAGAGTCAATGAAAGACTTTTCCCGGTGTTCTTCATCAACATTTGAGAAATGTTTCAAATACTCCACACACACCGGAGCTGGCAAGGCCAGTTGACATGAGTCTGTTTGAGACCCTGTCCTGGAGAGAGGGTGGCCCTGTCCCTCGGGTTCAGCCCACAGGTGCAATTCCCAGAGGCTACAGAGTTTTTTCACTCATTTAACAGATCGTTTTGAGCACCTACTGTGTGTGAGATACTTCATTAGATCCAGGGAGTAGGGTAAGCCAAAGTAGAAGCCACTTTAAAAAGTCCAGGGAGAGTCTACGGTCACACACAGGCATTTATCAGCCTCCCTTTTTCTAGGAAAGCAGTGGCATAGCTTTCTGCAACCCCACCCCGGACCCCAACAAGAGCTTTGCTTCAGATGCTAATCCTTGGGCTGCAGCGGGACGAGGGCTTGCTGAACTGCGGAGAAACCCTTCATTTCTTTACCTCTCCCCCTATCCCCCACCCGCTCGGGTTTTGTTTTTCTTTAAGCTCCAAAATCTCCCTCAGAAAAGACGCGGTATGATACGTCCCTGGGTCTGCTCACCAAGAAGTTCATTCAGCTGCTGAGCCAGTCGCCGGACGGGGTCCTGGACCTGAACAAGGCGGCGGAGGTGCTGAAGGTCCAGAAGAGGAGGATCTACGACATCACCAACGTGCTGGAGGGCATCCACCTCATCAAGAAGAAATCCAAGAACAACGTGCAGTGGATGTGAGTAGCCCTCGCTCCCGGCTCCTCCCTCCTCGGCTTCCTGGGCAGAAGTGCAAAGTCTTGTGCATGCACAGCTCCCATCCCGGTACTGTCAGGGTAGAAGGATTTCCGTTTGAATTGCATCGAGTGAGGGACCCGAGGTCCAGGAGGCAGTTGTTAATGGAACACCGTTCCTCCGTGGCACTGAGGTGTGCCTCTCGAGTGTGTGATCAGATAGAGTTCACACGTGTCTAGCCCGTCTCTAAGAGGATTTGGAGATGAGGGCTGTACAACCACACCGTCACGGAGTGTGTGTCCCCGGTTCTGGTGGGCTGACTCCCATTCTGTGTCAGTTAAGCGAGACACACCTGTCCCAGTCTCTTCTCTAAAGAAGAATGGTGTCCCTTGTCCCCATTTCGCCCACACGCCCGTCATCCGTGATCCTGGGCAGAGCCTCTAAAGAGCCAGAGTTTTGTAAGTACAGCTTTGAACTGTCACAGCACATCAGCAGGAATAAATCTGTTTTAGGGTGGCTTCGAAAAAATAGATTTCAAGCATTATAAGATGAATAGATAACCTTCTGGCGCTTTTTGGAATCGGATGGTCTGGTGACCCATTTTGACCTGTGCTTTAGAGAAACCTGTTGAGTGCTGGCCTTTGTTCCTACAGATACTTAGCACATCTCTTTCCCTTACCTTCTTTTTAGCTGCTGGTGTAAGACCCCCGGAAATTACCTGGGTCTTCTGTGCTTATGGATGACGTCTTTTTGAATTTCGAACCATTCCATCTTACTATCTGTCTTTTTATGCTTTTTCCCCCGTTCTCTCCCAGGAGGCCTGTGGCGGGTGGGGACAGTCGGGAGCGAGGTGGCTGCACTCTTTTTGCCCTCTGAATTTCTGCCTCTTCACCTAGTTTCTATGGTATGAGGAGCGCAGGGCTGTGTTTATGGAAACCATACCTAAGGTTCTCACTTTAACAATCGGTTAACGAGCACCGTGATCTCCTGTGGTAAGAGGGGACATTGACCCGAAGGATCAGCTCTCCCTGTCCCCTCTCTCCTGAGTAGCCACAAAGAGTCTGTGTTTGGGTTTTAGGGGCTGCAGTCTGTCTGAGGACGGGGGCATGCTGGCCCAGTGTCAAGGCCTGTCCAAAGAAGTGACCGAGCTCAGTCAGGAAGAGAAGAAATTAGATGAACTGATCCAAAGCTGCACCCTGGACCTCAAACTGTTAACCGAGGATTCAGAGAATCAAAGATATCCTTTGTGCCGCCGGTTCACTGGGGCTGTGCCTTCTGGACTATTTCCAGAGTTCACAGTCTGACTTATGCCTAAGGTAGATTTTACTGTGGTTTTGTGCAAATGGGTGTGTATGCGTGTGTTTGTACACCCTTGTGTGTGCAAACTCTCTTAGCTTTTCCTCCAAAGTCAGTGTTTATGGTAAGATAGTCATCCGACTGGATCCTGTCATTATCTATTTTGATAGCCAAGAGGGAACTGTTTTTCAAAGCATTATATTCATGTGTGGTTGGAACATATGGATACGCTCATAGCGTAATGCCACACTATTAAAAGATACGTAAAGTGTCAGTATTAATATTAATGACAACACTCAGCAGATTCATCTTTGGCTTCCCAGATTTTTGGTGGGTGTTAGCTGTCACTGTTGGGGTTCTCACATTCTATTTTCTTTCCATCAGACACTGTAGCAATTAGAGTTTGGTGCATCTCTCCACTTGGGCTATAGTGGAAGGGTTTGGAAGAGAATAGAAAAATTGTACTCTAACCCTGAAAGTGCATTATGCTGATTCCAAGAACTGATTTCACAAGCACCCCAAGACCTGAGAAATCTCAACTTGCCTGTTCCTCTTCAAACATTAGTCCTCAGAAATAAAAGTATGAAAAGCCAATTCTTATTTTCAACTTACTGACACTTTTTTTGACTGTCAAAGGAAAACTTGTTCTTCATCATCTTACCACAAACAAAATAAGAGGGAGTTCACTTCATTATGTCGACAAGATTTGCCAATATTCTCAGTGATCAGATAAAAACAATTCATATGTTACCTCATCCCTAACTTTAGGTTCAATCTTCTGATGACTCCACGTTTATCTTTGTTAGAAAATAAAATGTGTCCTGCCCATATTCACCTCGGGTCTCATTTCTAGCAGACCCTGTTTTAGAGGATCTGGGGACATTTATTTTTCAATTCCAGCAGTTTTGTTTTTTGTTTTTTGTTTTTTTTTTTTTTTTTTTTTTTAACTTGCAACTGTTCATTTCCTGTTGACCAGAGGATTGACCTTGCTGGCTGATCATTTGTGAGCTGGAGAAGAGGGGTGACGGCTTGAAGCCCCAGGGTGCCGAGTGGGTTTAGGGAGAGACCAGCAGTGAGTTCCCCTCCTTGTTCAGTGGGGCGCCCGCTGGGCAGTGCTCTGTGGCTGCACCTGATTGGCAGCTTTCTGGAGCATGTGGCCGGTGCCACTGTCACCTGTGTTCGCCTTCTCTGGGGCCTTTATTGCAGAACATAAAAGCGTCCTTGCAGGGGACGGCTCACCCGAGAAGCAGATTCGGGAGGGAGCCACAAAGGAAGCACTTTCAAGTTTGGAAGATTAGAAAATGTGTTTGCACAATTTATTTCAGTTTGCCATTCATTTCCCAATTTGGAGCAGCTTGTTCACAAATGTGTTGAAAGTTTTCTTCCTGCATCATGTTGAGTAACTGTAGATGAATTTTCATTTTAATAAGTCCTCGTCACCTTGCTTTCTGACAGCGGGCTGTAGCGTGGGAGCCTGGTGGTTGGCTTCCCTGGGCTCTCAGAAAGGACCAGAACGCTCTGGTCTTCTACAAAGGCCCCATTTGGCTTCCTTGGTGGGACAGTGACGACCCATCGCCCAGACTCTTGGAAGGGCAGTCACCATCGAGCTCACGCTGACCCTCCTGTGGTCCGAATGGCTGAGAGTTGAAGAGGAGGGTCCGTGATAGTTGTCCCCACGTGCGAGTGCAGATTTCATGTGGCTGTGCTTCTTCCCGGGACATGGACGAGTACTTCCTTCAGTGTATGCGAAGCTCCAGTTCTCAGGGACACCACTTACCTAGGCTCCCTGAGGCCCCGACACAGGCTGGATCACAGACCCTATTAGCTGTGTCGCCTGCAGAAATGCTTGACTTGACTTTGCTGTTTTATCCTACCCATATTTTGTGGGTTTATATAAGAAGAAATCGGCTAAATACACTGTACATTAATTATGTTCCTCCCTGTCCCTTGCACAGAAAGCCATGCAGCCTGTTCTCTGACAGTGCAGGTAAAAGTAAGTGCTGTATTTTGTCACCATGTCTCTTGAGGCTGGGCTTGCAGGACACTTAAAAAGAATTGTGCAATACTCAGAAGTTTCTCCCAGGAGTAGTGAAATGTTCCTCCGTCAGTGTTGCTCCGATTCATTCAGGTTGTGAGCACCCGGGAGCTGCTCCCTCCTTATGAACACTGAAATCTGCAGAGTTCATAATATCACACAAAGGATAATTTTTCTAACAGAAATAATGACACTTATCTGTAGGTGATATATAATCACAACCAGCCCAGGTGCACTTAAGAAAACAAGCCGTCTGCCTGAGCAGCGTTCGGAGTTCTGACACTGAGACGTTTGCTACTTATTCATTCACTTGGTGGCTGCTGGCACTTACTAATAGCATAAGAAGTGATTGGAGCTCCAAAAAAATCATGATTGGTAGACCTTAAATTTTTCCTGCAATTTGGGATCAGCCATCATTCAATTTGAGTGACAGAATACTTTTATTATTAGAGTTCATGGAATACCCTTGGCCAAAGGGACCTGGCTTTGAAATCCCTGACCTAAATGAGTTTTGATTTTTTATTTGATGATTTAACTCTTCTGTTTCTGTGTTTATTGTAATACTTGAAATAGCCATAGACTTTTTTGAGAAATGGGCAGGGTAAAGTATACATGTCTTTTGTTGTCTACAACATCAACCAATAAAGACTCACTGGAGGAACCCCATATGTTGAAGATTCGCAAGGAGGGGCATATGTATTCTTCTGAGTCACACAGTGGTTTGAATTTTTTCCATGTGTCTGTTTGTCATATTTCATGATGGCTGTGTTCGAGGCAATTAGACGAAGATTTCCTTAACGCTCACTACGTTAGCTTATGTTACATATCAAGATATTCGAAAAATTAGTGGCCTTAAAGACCAAACTGTTATAGTTGTGAAAGCCCCTCCAGAAACAAGACTTGAAGTGCCTGATTCAATAGAGGTAAGGAGCCGGCAACTGTGTGCCTCTGCAGAGGGGCCTCTGCGGGGCCTGGTGCTCAAGAACCAGGGATTCTGGTCGGCGTCTGCCCCGGCTGAGCACTTGACAGTTTATTTTGCTTAACCCTAAATTTAAAAACATTTTAACAGTTCACTGTTTGTTCAATATCCAAAAAGTCTATTTTCAACCTAGCGGGACATTCAACTAGAGCTGTCAGGTGCCTTGTCCCTTCCTGCTTTCTTGTTCACAGTTGACTCTCTGCTGGTTCTGATCAGTTAGAACCACTCGGGAAATTCTACATCGATTCCCCTGTGCGTGGGCCCCCACCATGAACAGAGATACCCGTGTTTTCAAGTATCTCCGTAACCTAGCACATTTTAAGATTTTTTTTAAAAAATCACTCATAGTGTTTAAAGAACTTAAAAATGGCTTTGGGGAAATGGAAAGATTGAAGAAAGTGGGAGTATATTTTTGTGATTGCTTTTGGATATTCTTTGATAATATAGACCTAAACTATAAGACAGAGATTGCATAGAAGATAGAAAGAGACTGTGGTCTAAGTGCCAGATGGTGCCTGGCTGTGGATCTGTGAGCCGTGCACCCTCTGTGCCGGCTGTTGGCTCCTGAACTCTGCCGCTGTAACATGAAAACAGCCACAAACGACTAGAACCATCTTGATTCAGTTCCAGTAAAAATTTTATTTGCATGGCCAGTCAGGGGTTGGGATTCGGCCCTCAGGCTGTAGCCCGCTGGCCCTGCTCTAGCGGTTGGCAGTTGTCCCCGGAGTTAGACCACCATTGAAGACCCAAAAGGAACAATGAATGTCACCCTCACAGTCCACTGGTAGATGAAAATGGCTGAGGTCTTCATTTCTAAAGAGCTTCTGGGTTGAACTTCTCCCACTTCTGTTCCCAGAGCCTACAAATACATTTGGCAAGTACCCAAGGACCCATTGAGGTTTACTTGTGTCCAGAAGAGACTGARACCCACAGTCCAATGAAAGCAAACAACCAAGACCACAATGGGAATATCCCTAAACCCACTTCCAAAGGTAAAGACCCCTTTTGTCTTTCGGAAACGATGTTGAGAGTGTCGGAACTTCTCCTGTTACGGAGGGAGTAGTTGGAGTCAGGCTGTTTACAGTTTAGAATGATGATCTTGGGCACATGGCTCCTCCTCTGCTACCAGAGTCCCTCAGGCTTCTGCCATCAGCAGTGCTTTGGGAGCCGCTGAAGTGAGGACCGAGGTCGTGCCACTCTCGGAGGGCATCAGCTGCACCTGGCCATGCACCTTTGAACCCTGTGCAGGACAGAAGAGGCTTGGCTGTTTTTGTCTTATCTCCCTCCCGTGGTGGGGACAGGATATAGGGGGAAAATAAACCTAACTTCTCCTTCCCCCCCTGGGGCTAGGACAAAGCTTTTTGCATTTTCTACCCTACCATCTCCTAATATAGCAGCAGAAATAGGAGTGATTTCAGTGAATTGGTCTGATTTAATACTGAGCAAATACACAGCACCCGAGCTGGTAAAGCAAAAGACCACCCTTTTCACCATGGAGATTCCAAATGAATGTGTCTTATTCTAGGCAATATCTCTAATAAGCTGGTCGTTCAAAAAAGAAGTTAAAATTAGTGAATTCCTACCAGGGAGCCGACTTTTAACTCTGTGTGTTTTGTTTTTCTCAAAACAATGAGTAGGTACTGGAGGGAAGTCTTTGAACTCGTTAGCCTCCAGTCTTTGAAGCCGCTGGGTTCTTGTTTTCTGACGGTGGGTGTTTGAAAGGATGAGTTAGGCTAGGACACACTCTTCCATGCCTGTTAGCATAAAAGGTGATCTGTACCAGAAAGCCGTCCTGGGGAGCAGAGCCACGGTGACCTACTCATTCTTCCAGAAAAATGAATTTGATTTTTCTCCTAACTCTTTGTTTACACCCATTGTTTCCCTTTCAGACTTGGCTTCAAACAACTCAGGACATAGCGATTGCTCGGTTTCTATGGCAAACCTCTCTCCCCTGGCCTCCCCCACTAACCTCTTACAGCAGACTGAGGACCAAATTCCTTCCAACCTGGAAGGGCCCTTTGTGAACTTGCTGCCCCCCTGCTCCAGGAGGACTACCTGCTGAGCCTGGGCGAGGAAGAAGGCATCAGCGATCTCTTCGACGCTTACGATTTGGAAAAGCTCCCGCTGGTGGAAGACTTCATGTGTAGTTGATCCTGCTTTGTGTGAACTCTCCTGATAAATGGATATTTTTTTATCATGGAACCAGAGCGTCTGTCATGCRGTGTTGACCCTTCCCACCTTGTTCCTCTAAGAGAGTACCATGAAGTAAACTACAAACTTYGGAACAAAGCTGACATTTTAATGAATTTTTTTCTTAATTGTCTAAGCGCACAGTTGCAGGCTCCCTTGGGAAAGCCCTGCCTTGTCCCAGGCTCCAAAATCTCCTGGACGAGTCAACAAGTGAGAAAATGTGCAATCAGGTGTCTCTCACCTGTCCTCTTCCTCTTCCTCTCCCTGTCCCTCTGCCCCCACCCCCCACCCCCCCGATTGGCTTGCTGTGCCTGACGGATGGGCTGTAGAATGGGGTCTGGCCACCTGGCCCGCTGGGAAACAGCAATCTTCCTTAACAGCATTTCAAGCCKTGCCTTCTCTGCAGAATGCATGTCTTTGGGGTCTGCTAATCTGGAATGGAACTGCAGCCRATGCAAACTTGAAGTTATGCAAAAGTATGAAATGGATTTCTTCAGCTCTTCTTAGGAATATTTAAATTACTGTCATAATTCAGTTTAAGCTATGGACTGTGTGTCCCACCAGGAGGTSGCGAGATCCTCYGCAGCCTCTCGGATGAAGAACCTGTTCTCAGAGTACTTGATGCAGACACAGAAGCTCTTGGAGCTCTGGYGCTSGAAGCTGCTGTGGGTTTTCCTGYCTCCACACACCACTCCCAGCCCCGTCCCCAGCGTATTGTGAGTTTCCAGTTGATTTGTAGCAGATGCCTACTTAGGTGTTCTTTGTGGATTGTTCTAGACTTTCGATATTTTTTAGCYGCCACTGAAGCATTCCTGTGGCTCCCATCACCGTTCAGTTTAATTGTTTACTTTGAAGCAKTTTTTGCAAATTCGTATTTCTTTAGCAGAGGGAGAGAACCTCGTGAGCCTGTGTGACCTGAGGTCCACCAGCCTCTGCAGGAAGCAATGTCCCATCTGGCTTCCTTTCCYGGGAGGGGAGCMCAGGGCRCRCTGACRCKCGAGGCTGTGGGGCAGRACAGCAGGTCAGAYGACGAAGCAGTCCCAGGRAGCAGCAGGCATGGACCCCTCYGTCCTTGKGCTTCCCGGGCCCCTGTGCCCGGGGAAAGGGCTCTTATGCCACACTCAGGGAGACCACTTCTCAGGGTGGGGTCAGATGGAGAGGCCTGGGGGGGGGGAGGCATCCCGGGAACGGCCTTCTGCAGGGCGCTTCCCTCAGCTGGTGAGACGGGGCCCCGCTGTCGGGTGGATGGTCCTGGCCGGACCCGCGCCCCTTCCCCATGAAGGAGTGAGCTGGATGAAGGGGAGTGGGAGGGTGGGGAACCCGGCGCTGGAGGCCAGGGCGCCCCCTCGACTCCTCAGGAACGGTGTCCCAGCCACAGGCCTCCTGTCACTGCACATCCTTCTGGTCATGTACGTCCCAGATGGCCTTCCTGGGGACAGGTGGCCGTGGCCGCCCTGTCCTGGGAGTGTGGCACAGTACCTCAAATCCATCCTTGGACGCAAGGGCTGCGGAAATGAGGGGTCTTGAGAAATAAACCTCCAAGCCAACAGCTGAGTGGAGACGCCGTGTGCCCGGCCCGCCCGTGGGCACACGGTGGGCACTCGACGCGTCCAACCGAATCGAAAATGTCCCTTAGGAAAACCTTTTCCAAAACCACAAGAACCCCGGCCAGTTTACTCTAGGTAGATTTCCCCAATATGCAAAGTGGTGGTGRGGTSGAGACASRCGACACCAGCACTTTAAGCTCTGTGTGTGGRTATGCGTGGTGTGTGCTTGGGAAGAAAAACCAAGGTGCAGACTCTCTTCCTCTCTCCTCCTCAGCCTCCATCCCCGGCCTCCCTCACACACACTGGACTTGGTACGGAACAGCCCTGTGGTCAGAGATGCAGCATGGGGTGGAGGAGGGCGGGGACTCTGTGTTAAGTGCCTACTGGAAATGCACTGTGGGGATTTTCCTGTGTGGGAAACCGTTGATGCCAAGCGTTCCCCATTTCCCGTGTCTGTGTCCTCCGGTTAGCTGCCTCTGCCTCCGGCTTTGTGTGATTCTCCTCGCCAGCTGCACAGAGCTGATCTTTTTCCCCAAAGTCTAAAGACTGAGCTCCCCYGGCTGGGTTGTTGTGTGTTTTGTTGACTTTCTCGTTGAACCTCTTCGTAATGTAATGCCGTATTTATTGTTTAAAAAAAAAATGAAAGGAATACTAATAAGTCTTAAAAGTTCCTTCGTGCATAAGATTTTTCCCAGTTATGGGGCTTGCCTGGTGTACGTTCATGAGACGTCCATGCTGTCTTTCTGTTTGCATTAACCCCTTTCTTTTCACCTAGTATCTGGCACACAAAGTGGGTGGGTACTACAGTGTTTGTGTTCCTTTTAAGTACTGAGTATGCAGGTTTCCTGGTACCATTGAGTTGCTGCTACTAAAGCTCACACACGAAATGGCTAAGAGTTGCGAGTGCGGATTATGACTGCGTGAGCCTTAGAAACTAGAGTGTACAGCGGGCGACACATGAGCTGTCAAACAGTGTTAGGCGTGTGTTCATATGTACAGACYTGTGCATAGCGATCGCTTTATTTAAGTGGACATGTAGTCGACTCACCTTTTTCATTATTTAGCAATTTTGTACAAAAAAAAATAGCAATTAATTTGTAAACACTGCCAGAATATTTTCTAGCTGGTTTGTAATTTTTTAAGAGTGTTGACCTTTTTTTCGTTTTTCGTTGTGGTTCTCGTTTTCGTTTTTGTCGTCCGTGTAGATCTGTAAATAGAACCGCAGTATTTAAGGCTTTAGCTTTCAGGAAAGAGGAGGGAAGACCTCTGCGTGCCTGGCGGGCCGAGTGGGCAGCGCAGCAGCAGGAAGGGGCCTCTCGGAGAGGGTCAGGGGGCACGCGTCAGGGTGAGTGAGGGGGCTTCTTCCTATGGGGTACGCGATTTTGTAAAAAAAGGAAGTATTTCTCCCAAGATTGGGAGTAGGCAACCTACTAATCAGTTTAGCTTTGTGTTGTACCCTAGTTTAAAAAAGAAAGTATGTAATATAATAATGTAAAAAAAGAAAAAAGAAAAAAACCAAACAACAGCAACAAAAAAAGCTTTTATGATGGATTTTGTAAATAGATTTGTTACAGGGCGACCTGTTCTCTAGCTGTGATCTTACCACTTCAAATGGATGTAATTTGAATAMATTTTGTATGGTAAAGGATCAATAAAATGATTTTTTTTAAGAGTTGAGACTTGTGGATGGCTTTTCTTGGTACTGTCTTGTGCTCCTGAACCACCGTAACTTTTAAACACATTCTTTACAAAGCCAGGGACCGGTGGGCAGACGTTTTCCACCAAGTGCCTGGCCCTTCACCGGGACGCTGCGGTGCCGGGCGCCCACGGGGGCTCTGCTCTCTGAGCAGCACAGCTCGCCTTGTCCCCGGGGCCTGTCTGTGGAGCCCACTCCCCAGCATCGAAGGGGGATTTTTGCACTGAGAAAATGACACCAGGTCAAGTTGATCCTCTCATACGGAGCGTGAAGCCAATACATTTTAGTTCTCAACTCTGGAAATCACCTCCCGTGCACTCGATTCTACATTTCTTACAGTACCCCCTCTGAGTGGGTCAGGGTGCTTGACTGCTGGGTCCCGGGATTGACTCCGAGTTTGTCATCCAGAGCCTCGACGTGCTGTGACTGTTCACCCGGAAAATCCATGTAGCAGGAATGAAGTTCCTAACGAAAACATGGCCTGCTCCTGACCTTCTGCCTGGAGGTGACCTGCTCTCCTTGGCCCGGTGCTGACCTCCAGTCCTGTCACTTTCCAGACACGCACACGCATAAACCTGTGTCCATGGACATGTGTGTTTTAACATGGTTTCCTTCCACTCTGCATCCTGGGAAGCCTCATGTTAGTATCTTGTTCATGCTCTTAAAGGCTGCATGACCATCCCAGTGGTTGACACCTGTGCCATCATTACCCCGGGGGTCTTCTGTTTTGAGAGACATCTTTATTATTTCACTGTAAGAGATAATATAGAAGGTTTGTGGGATGGATGGCATATGCCAGGAACTTTTTAATATAGTAGGTACAAAATTTACCATGATGATGTTGAATACATTAATAATACTGTACAAGCATCACCTCCAGGTCCAGAATTATTTCCTCACCCCAAAAGGAAACCTTGTACCCATTAAGCAATGGCTCTCTTTCCCGGCTACAGGCAGTCGATAATTTGTTTTCTCTCCCCCTGGATTTGCCTATTCTGGGTTTTCCTTATGAAAGAAATAATACAACATGTGATCTTTTGGGTCTGGTTTTGTAGCTTACTGATTTCAAGGTTCATCTGCATCAATACCTCAACCTTTTTCATGCCCAAATAATAATCCATCTGTTCATCCATCTTCAGCTGATGGGCATCTGTGTTGCTTCCACTCTTAGACTAGAAGAACGTGCTTTCTGTGAGTGCTCAGTATTTTTCAAAGCGTGCATTACTACTTCATACTATATATCTGTTATCTCTCTCCTACATAAGCTCAGTGAGGAGAGGTTCTCATATTCAGTGCTGTGACCTCAGTTCCTAGAACGGTGCCTGGCATGGAATAAACATTTAATATTTACATGCGATATTCCTATGCTGCAAATGAGTGCTCTGTGGTTTAAAAAATGACTGGGGTGCGGGGAGCTGTCCAAAGGCAGCACACAGGGACGTAGACGTAGTGGACACTGAAGCTTTTTCGTGTGTGCTTTCCTGCTCTTCCCCCACACTTTGCATTTCAGTTATAGTTCTGGGAAGAGTTCTGTTTGCCCAGTTTGGAAGCCCGAAATCTGTCATCTTACCCAGTGATCTGCAGGTCGGATCAGCAGGTGTTCAAGCCCATAGTCAAGCCAGTGATAAAAACTGACAACAGAAAAAAACAAAAGCAATACAAAGTCCTTCTTCCAAGTGGTCTACCCACGGGGGACAAGGCTGGCAAATACAAGAGAATTGTCCACCCTGGAAAGCAGTTGAAAAATTGGACAGGGTGAATTGGAGCTGATCACATAGGGCTGTGTTCTTTAGCATGATGGACACAGGGCTGGGGTGTGTCAGTATCCTAAGAATTCAGCCTGCTTGAGTATTGTTTAGAAACGGGCTCTGTGCACAGGGAAGTTTAGGAAGCAGTTCTCAGTCATCAAGGCAGAAAGTAAGATTCTTTGGGGAAAGTTAATTGCGTTTCCTCCTCCGCAGGCCATGAAGGGAAAGAGCTGTTCACCTATTCAGTTGTTCAATCGCTCTTCGAACATGAAGTTTCGACTCTATGTCAGGCACTGCTCTAGGTGCTGGGTTCCAAATTTAAAAAGGCACCGTTCCTGTCAGCAAGAGGAAGTTTGCATTACCTGGGGGAGAAGCAAGTTGAGCTAAGAGAAGCAAATACGGACGTCTTGAATGACCAACTTCTCTTTCTGAAGCCATTGGCGCAAGACCTGGGAGGACAGGTGGGGTGGATGCAGCCACTGGAGTCGCCCCGGAGCACCAAAGGGTGCTGCAGGAGCACTGAGCCACTCCCGAGCTCAGACTTGTGCACCCGGAGGCAGGAGCTGTCGCAGAAGATTCCGGGGTGAGCATGACCCCATGGAAGAAACCACTAGTTCCAACCCCTGGGATCCAGAGAGGAGGGAGCCCCAACCTAGCACTAGGCTCCAGCGCTGATGGGAAGGCCAACGACAGGACTGAATTGTTGGTCAAGCATCAGGAAGTCAGGAGGAGGCCCAGGATGTTAACAAGAGGCCCGACAGCAACTGCCCAGAACCGCCAGCTGGAGTCCATCAGAAGTCACAGTAACAGGCCAGCGGGGGGTTGCAGTGTGTCCTGTACTGCAAAGAACAAGCCGAGCGCAGTGGTGTGAACCTCCACCCTGGAGACCAAGGCAGGGGATCCCAGGTTCAAGGCCAGCCTCTGCAACTAAGCAAGGCCCAGAGCCTCGACCCTGGAGACCAAGGCAGGGGATCCCAGGTTCAAGGCCA